AAAATCAACTTTCGTAGAAAACTATTTATTGCCTAAAACCTATTATTATTTGAAGCAAGAAATCGTTTAATATGCCAGACCAAACACGGTTGATGGTGTCTTTTTTTAGAAAAATCTAGATTCATCGACTACTTTTATTATTTTTTTATTTTGACACATAGATGTCGGTACAAGGAGGCACCAAAAACATATGCGCCACACAGATCTCATTTGATATGTGTGAGGGCTGTGATACTACTCGGGTGCCCAAGTCAAAATAGGTGGTCTTCTTAAGGGGCCACATCCGGGGCCTTCGACCTGAAGGTCTGATCCACAAGGCAGTGCAGCAACGTAAGTAGATGCAGTCCCATGGTAGCCGGTGATCAAAGATTGGTTCACACGCCATTTGTTCCTTTAGGATACTGGAGCCCATGTGCATCATTGGTTTGGAATCAGGGTTTTCCAACTCCCCTAGGTGGACTATCCGTATCCATCAACCCAGTTAAAGCGCCGGACATTCACTTGTCAGTCTGTAGAACTATGGTCTAATATAATATTAGTTCTGCTCTTATAATAGACCTAATCCTAAAGTTGTAGATTCGTCATGATATAACTGCCTAATCTATAAGATCTTACGTGGAAGTCACACCATCCACTACACCGGCTCACTATAACTTATCAACTACCATTACATGATGTAGAACAAGGTTAGGCTGGAGAAAGAACAATATATTTAATATGAATAGAAGATATAAGGTAACATTCAGCAGAGACCACGCCTGCATGGCCGAGCCATGCCACTCGATCAACTCCAGTCCATTCCATTCATTGTTCGCGCCTTCTCCATCGTTAGGTATTTCTCCGTGTTAAATATTGAATATCTATTTTCTGAGTAGTCTTGTGCTCAGCTTTAAAGATTGTTTGGTTATGGTCCAATGCCACTACACTACTCTCCCACCAGGATCAACGTGATGTTGGTTTGATAGCAAATTGGATGGGATCGTCGCGCGCTGGAGGTTACCAAGGTTAATAAGAATCCTCCGGGTATTGGTAAGCTGAAAGATAAATCAAAAAGAAGGCGGCAGCATCTGGTCGGGAAATACATGTAATAATTTTAAAACATCTGCCTTCATGCTTAACATGCTTGAAATGAAATTTGGGTGAAGATTATTTGAGCTATAAAATATGGGATAACAATAATAATAATAATAATAATAATAATAATAATAATAATAATAATAATAATAAAATGATGCGTGTTAATAGCCGTTGGTAAGCATTTTGTGTTTAGAAATATTAAAGTAATGAATATTGTAGAAATGTTAATATTGGTATTAGTTTTGGTTTAAATTATGAAAAAAAATAACGATTATGCCGGTAAGTTGTCCATATGAGTTGAATTTCAATAGCATATGTATTAGTAGGCTAACTGAAGGAACAAAAGTATTACCGTGGAGAAGAATTCCAACTAGTGTTTCAGTTAGTTTGATACGGTTTATTTAGTTACGGGGAGGTTTTCTCAAACTCATTTTTACTTGACCGCGATAGGATTTAGTAATACTACTAATACACATGAATGTTTATCAAAAGAAAATTTAAATACGTGAATGATAATTATATGAATTTTGGACAGATAGCTAGGAACAAATCGTTAAACATGAGTGTATTCGTAAGAGACATGCTCTAGACTCAATGTTCTGAGCTGCCATAGACTATTTATACATATTTATACCTGACCGCTGACGATGCATACAAGTTAGTTGCAAGTATGCAGTTTATCATAAGGCGGAATACGATTCAATTGAGATATAGTGATTATAAGTTATTAAAATCAGTTAAGCCTATGGGTCATATTACGAAGTGATGTGGTGCTGCAAGATGTATTTAGCTAAATAAGTTTTTACAAGATGATTAATAGTGAGTGATGCTCATGTGATTAACAGGGAGAACATAAGTTGTAACCAGGGGGAGTACACTCCCAACTCATGTCTATGATAATGGCTTGAACCTTAGACAGTGTTGGGGTAAATTCGACATTGATGTTTTCAGTTTGCAGGAGATTTGCTCGACTGCTTATGTTGATTATTTGCATGCATGATTGTGTCGCTAAACCATCAATTAGACTGACAAGGTTTTGAAATATTTGCTGAATAAGCAACTGATAGAGAAACATACTGTAATCATCTGTGATGGATGAAGATGCCAAGAAAACAACACCATTTAATGGTAATTATAAGTCAATTTGTTGACCGATTTCGTTAATAGTTTCATTAATTTTATCAGTCATATTACGTGATTGTCAAGTTATGACAATGCTTTATGACGATATCCTGAAACTATTAAATTTAACTAGTTATAGTGTTGATTGAGGATTAGTCATTGGAAAAATAGATATTGTTACTTTAGGTGATTCGAAATTATCAGAAATCTATAACGTTAAAGAATCCGAGACACTTAATTTAATTATAAATTTCAATTCAGAAATATTCGTTTAGTGTTAATTCTAGTCGGCTACGGAGTTTTAATTTGAAACGTTTGTTTAGCCAACAGCTACCTGAGGATTTAGTTATTTTACTAGTGCAGTTGATAGTACCTAAATTTTTAATCTTATTATCTGAACTATGTTCCCATTTTAGGCTGCTAATATGATAAACCAATCCATAAACCCAAATACGATTGGCAACAACGACTATGATGAGTTTATTAATAAATGTTAAAGGCGATCCAGATGAGTAGTCTTGTGTTCAGCTGTGAAGATTGTGTGGTTATGGTCCAATGCCACTACAAGTCTCTCAATTTCGTAAACAACACCCGGTAAGAGAAGGTAATGAGCACGACTCTCCTGGTAGAGGCTATGTACGTGTGTCCATGTGAGAGCATTTCGAGAGGGAGAGCTGACTCTCCCCACTCTCGACCGTGCCAAGACATTTCTGGGCGACTACTAACTGCACCTCTTCTAATTTTATGTACATTTTTAACTAAAAGATCTAGAGAATCTCTTCGGAACTCCGGATGAATATTTACAAGTAGTTTCAGTGTTTCGCCGCCAGTTTCAGAACTGAGAGATCGTTGAAGCCGCAGTACAATGACTTCAATCACATTGACAATTAAATTAGATGTTCCATAACAGTCGATCTCCAAATTACCGAAAAGATAACGTCACCCCGGGTCTCAAGCTCAAACTGACAGATGCCAAAGTTTAAAATAATGATGACGAGGAGGTACATTTTTCGATAAAATGGATAGCGTGATGAAAAGGGTCTCAAACATGCTAGAACTCAAAAATCGTACAGTCTTTCTTAACGTCAAAGAAACATGATGACCGGGAAGCAATGGTGTTAGTTTTTAGTGATAAGATATTTAGCCGCCTTTTGGATGTTCTATGCTGTACTTTATGATGCATGAACATTTTTTGTGTTATGGCTGACGATAATACCTAAACATTAATTCCCATAGTACGACGTAATGATAGTAAATACGATTGAAGAACACTAAACACTACAGCAGCGTTATTTGACCACCAGGTAGTTTGTGTTTCTCCTACACAAAATAACATACTATACAAGAAACTACAACCACTCGGTAAGATTGTTAAACTCCTGCGGACCATGAGTAATATTTTCAACAAACTGTTGGTAAAACCTTTCCGAAAGAATCAAATCGAGCAACAAATACTATAAGGGGTGCAAAGGACCGTCTATCCATGATGTAATTTGAGTTCAGTCAAACAATACTTCATTGTCAACGGCCCGATATCATACTGCAAACAGATGTGATGTAAAATGTTCATCTAATCTAAAGTCAGATAACAAAGATGTAGTCGACGAAGACTGGGTAATATTAAGATCAGTGTACGGAAGCCTCGCATTGGGATGGACATGTTCGAAAATGATGATAAATTAAGGAAACGGTTATAGCACTTTAAATGATTAACAATAGACGCATCTAAGACAAAAAATTACTAAAAACTCTATTGAAATCGCCAATAACAATAGAGGATTAAGGTTACTGTTTCACAAAACCTGTAGAAATTGGGATTATCCACTACATGAACACATTTTAGAAAACCATATATAAAGGGTGTTACCGAGGTCATGGTGATTAGAAAAACCAGTTAGCTGCTGAAAAGTCTACAACAATCCAGTGTTTGAAGCGATCGCGAGTTCACCTTGTCCGGGAATGGAACAAAGACTCTGTGGTCAAAGACCAATAGGCTAGCTTTTCTGATCAGTCCCAGCCCCGCTAACTAGAGTGAAAAGTTCAAGTTCGAAACAGGGAAATATATTCCGCAAGCAGCCACAAGAACAAGCAACCACGACCAGTCAGGTCGGAAAGACAGTTATTTATGTATTGCTTTGTGCATCCATTTTTGATTAATAATCAGAATAAGTCACATATATGAAAAATATTTGATATCAGAATATCGTACGTTATACAGAATGAAATGTCACAGGGGGAAAACGAGAAAAATACTATACTGAGTGGTCATCAAATTGAATTAAACGGAATTAACTCATCCCGTCATAACAAAAATGGTTCTAGCCAATCTTTATCGACGAATATCACCATTCGCCAATCAAGATGTCCGTCTCGATAGCCAGCTGATGGTGGTAAAATTTCAGTGAATATCCGTTGCCATTATTAGCTGCGCCGGTACATTGTTGCCATACTTAAACATTCTATTTCTTTATGTAGCCTTAAGCCCGGCGAAAAACCTTAAAGTACTTAGGAAAAGCTCGGATAAACAGTCTCAACTGAAATAAAAAGTTCAAGAACACATTCAAAGGCTTTAACTGGTTTTGTGCCCAAATAAGAAACTGGTGTCTGCTGCTTAAATATCAAGATTATTTTTGAATCCCTGACGGTTGCAAAACATGGACGGGTGTTTCTAGTGACACTCATGTCCTTCGAGTATTGAACACAGATACTTTTACGGTATATCGGATGAACCGAGAAATTGGATAAGATTGAGTATTTTAAATTCTTGCAGTGGATCTTCATGGATTACTGGATATTGAATTGATGCATTGGAAAATGAATGTAACTGTTGAAGTTATTTAGTTGTGCTCTAACTTTCATTTTTATGGCGATTGTTCGAAACTTCCATTTTCTTTCGTTAGGTCATGCTTGACTCAGCATTTACATCTTGAGCGCACATCTCTTAATTCTACATGCGAATTTTATAAAACCTCTCATGTAATGGACTTGACGTGTGAACCATTGGCCCCATTACGACAAGTAAATTGTCATAACAAGTTAACAAATGTACAAACAGAGTCAGGAAAGATTCAGGAGTCCAGATATTTCTCGAAGACCATTGGGAGGAGAAGCTTTGGCTGCTTACACAGTCAAAAAGTCACGTCGTGCTAAGTCAACGGTATGTTCTTGCAGTTTTGCATCATTTTTAGGAACCTACTGCTCTTGATACCAACGTTCCACTTGTGAAATGTTCTAACGAAGTATGTGATATATTCAAATAAAATGCATTGTTTAGGAGGAAAAAGTAAAGGAAGTTCTAAACGACGAAAGTATGGACAAACGGTGGTCATTAATAGCCAAAAACTACGAAAATGTAGTATTTAAAATTTCAGTATATTTTTAATCATAATAGATGTCGAAGCAAGAGATCATGAATAACTACAGATTACTCATGAGCGAAAAGCTACGATTGGAAAGGTTTCTGTCCATAATGACCAAAAATAATGAGATGGTAAGGTTTTTAGCGTTTTGTAGGTCTGAAATATAAACACATTAAGTTTTTTCATGAAATTATGTTCAATATAAGTTAGTATTTATCATTTGCTTTATTCAAGCCTTTCTTGAGCATTTTAGGAGATCGTTTATAAGTGTCGGAACCTCACTAATTTTGAAGATGTTTGATGCTTTCTTATGGTTTTAAAACTTTCAGTATTGTACTCATTTGCTACATCTATACTGTAGGATTATTCTCAGATGACATTGATACTGACCCACACAAAAATCCTATTCTTTCACATATATTTTTGCATTCGCTTTTTATTGATGTGGTACTGCTTATTTGCCTTTCCTTTGCTCTTTTCTTGAAAGAATTTACGAACATAAATCAAAAACCATAAACAATATACAAAATTGAACTCTTTAGTGTAGAGGATTCAGTGCTCTTATCTTTGGAGTTTTAATGTATAATAATAAACCAGATGCAGTCGAATTCATCTAGGTGCAACACTGATCAGTATTAAGTGTTGCATCTTTCTGCTTATGGCTAATAAAATTATACTCTATGTGAAGTTATGTGAAGTAATAGGTTTTACTAGACCTCAGCTGATAACTTACAAGATTTTTTGTCTGGAATATGAGAAACTGAAAACAGGCAGTTAACATCCAAATGGTAGTAAAGATGAATATTTATAAATCGCCAAATAAAACTGAGGCACTGAATGAATGGTAAGCTGCCATCGGATTCCAAGGGATTATGCACTTATATCACCATATATGAACACATGTTTCTAAATATGTTTTTTCATAGCCTTTTAAATCCAAGCGTCGCCACGGTGTGTTTAGTATATCAAAAACAAAGTAGTAAGGTATAAAAAAGTGTTTACCATAACTATTAAAGTACTTTTCTTGGGGCATTTTCTGATGCTCAGTGAACTTGAATAGACAAAAATTGTGCTGGGTTGACTACCACTAGTCAGGTAAGTTATAAACGCAGCTGAACTGTATAAATATTTAATGAAAAGTTTCGCAGTCTACAAAAGCCATCCACAACAATTACCTTATAAATCGTCAGACTACAAATATATTTTAAGTGAAAAAAGATCCCTGGACCAATAAACACTTCTTTCTATAATAAAATCGCAATTTATAACTGTGGAATACTAGTTTCTTTGTGTGCTTAGTAAGAGCTTTCATAATGAAAACTCCTGGAATAGGGCAACTCCACTAACTGGACACAAAATCATGTCTTAATGTGAGGTTTTATTTCAGTTGCATTATTTAAGTATACTGTTTGCATTCATGATAAATAGAAGGTAAAGCTGAGTATTCTATGGGGTTGTTTTATGAAAATTGTACAAAAGTAATGAATGATTGTATGATTAAGGACATTAAACCACGTGCTTGAAATATGAAGGAGGTTTTAGCAAACAAAGCATCTCAAAAATATTGATGGATTGGTTAGTATGAAATGATTTGACACCTAACATAAGTGGTTTTTGGGAAGTGAAAACTAGCTCTTTACTTTAGTAACATAAGGCGAAGAAATCAAAAACAAGTTTGAAAGAGCAGTCATTTTAATAACAACCATTTAAAATAGAGATAATATTCGTTTCGAATTCAGCTTCAGACGTTTCATAAAAATATAGGAAGATCAAATGCTTCACCAAATCTAGCGGTTTCGTCTGGAATAAATTTCACAAGAGTACGGGTTCTAATTAAAAATACCAATTAAAAAGAAGCAGTATTGAACTTTGCCTTGTAAATATGTTGTTTGATTAGACATATAATCCATGAAATTTATTATTCTGATAATTCTGTTTACTGTAGTTAGGAGTAAAATGGGTAACAAAATGCGGAGTAAGGGGTTTAGCAGATTAACCTGTAACTGTAACTTAAATGTCTTACTCTAAACAGCTTTATAATTCCTAAATTCATGGCGCCTTAAGGAATAAGTATATTTAAAACTAGCTACATACAGATACAGCTTTAATTAAGCGTTTATTTGGAAAATTATGTGTTTAATTTGATAGATATTTCTGTTTTTCTCTGTATGTTTTGATTTAATTACATAGCTACATTAAGTTCATACACTTTATGCTTAAGAATTTGAATTTTCTTCATAATATTGATCACATGCGGGGCTTTTTAAAACCAGGCAATGTTTTTATCAATCTGAGATTTAGCTAGATAATATTACTTCAAACGATAAACCATTATTAAGGAGAGATTAGTACTGAAGTCAGTGAAACGTTTTCATGACAGTGTAGATCACAAAACACCAGCTATATAGTTATTTGCTTGAGAACGCTGCTGAAAACTGACTTTACTCATTTTCATCATGCGGTTAGCTGAAAATCTCAGGTTTTGATATTTTCAGTGCTCTATCATCCTTTTATCCTGCATTCTTCTTCATTTATAGGTTGAATACTTTTGATCACTGCCTAGCTGTGCCGGAATTCATGTTTAACAATACTAAGCATAAAAAGTTTGTTTACAATGAAGCAAAGTTATTACACACTCTCTAATTAGAGTGTTCTATAGGCGACACTTACATGTCAAAAACAACACTGGTATGTATACGATTTTGACACCTTATAACTCTATGGATATAAGGTATATTGGTGCGTTTTTAGAATAGTTCTTCGAATTACGGAATTTTGGTATCGTTTAAGAAATCATGTCATTACCGTCTACAAACTGCGTGCATATCGTTGGTTGACAATATTAATAGTTTACGCAAATCTAATGGATTTGTTTATCTGCGGATCTCATAGTAATAATGAATTGTTTGCTTCATTTTTCAACCAAAGTATAAAACAATCATATCCATGCACAATTATTAGCTAGACAATCTGTATGAGGTCAACGACATAATGCGCGTTCCCCTATTTTGTAAATACAAATATTTCACATTAGAAAATTTGCGTCCCTAGGTCATTAATTATTATTTTGTAGAAATCTACTGTGTAAAAGTGGCTTCATCTATTGAGTTATAAGACAGCTTCCGTTTAATACAAATACTTTCCTTGTACATTCTTATGTTGTTGATTGTTACTGGTTATAAAAAATAAAGACTGATGATTTTAAAAATTTCATTGGCTATCGTTTATTTCGTACTTTATCCGTTCTACAGGCTCGCAATCGCTTGGAATCCGACCTATTAGATGCCATGATGTGTATAGAAGACTTAAAACAGGCTCTTGAGATTCGTTTGGCACGAGTAAGTATTTTTTTTATTGATTTGATGAAAAATAGACGTGTTACTTGTTTTTGGTTTGTGTAAGTAAAAGCGCTGCCTTTTTCATCAGGCAATGTAGACCTAATCAGGATATTACAAAAAGAACTAAGGCCTTATGGTTACTTATTTATTTGGAAGAATAGCTGAGCCGATAAAAAATGGGTGAAAAGGTTGTCGACTGATCACTTGAGTGAAATTGTCATAGAGATAGTTTGCTCACGTAGCATAAGTGTAACTTTCGTCACAATCGACATCGTAAGACAGGTTCATTGATCAAATGATAGTAAACTTTGGGAACATAATTCTGCAACCTATATATATATATATATATACATATACATGCTAGGAAGAATTTATGATAACATTAGTTACTGACATTTACTCAATAGGTTCATTCAAATCCTTTGTACTACTCTTGAAGAATACTTTAACCTGTCTTTGTGCTTGAAGTAACGTTTTTCAGTTAATTAAGGTCAACTAGAACAATTATTCCACTATTTGCTTATTTGACGTTTGATAATAAAATTGAAAGGAATTATATCCAGTAGACTCAGTGGCTATAAAAGCAGTATGCTTTTGCCTAAATGTTGCATGAGTAAGCAATAATGTCTTAATAACAACAATGATAAGAACAATATTATTATTATTATCATAATTAATTGATTTATTCAGTCTTTTGTGTTTATTACAATAGAGACTTTTCAGCATGAAATATTCTGACGAATTCCTCCTATTCTTTATATAATTTATAAAGAGATACGCCTTAAATAAATAAATAGAATTAAATAGAACTAAGTGGGAATTTTGTACAAAAGAACAATCTTTACTTTACTGAATGATATATATGGACGTTAAAAAGCATATGTTTCTCATTAGATTAACTGTTGCATTTTTTATTGTACAATATATGTCCTAAATACGGTATTGTATAGCCTTCATACTTTTACACTAGAAGATATACAGGGGAAATGATACAAATACAGTGGATGGTTTGCATATGATGGAATAAATCTTGTCAGTTGTTTTTCAAGATTTCATTTGTCTATCTGCAACTACATTCATAATAGCGTCAACCAATCCACCATTGACTTTAATAATATCTCTCAGTGCTTTACTTAACACAGTGTAATCACTTTTCAAAAGTTCAGGAAAGGCAATGAGAAACAGTAAAGTATAATGAACAGTCTACAGGAATTAATAAATCATATAGACGGTCGTTGTGTTATAACGAAAACACAACCTCCAATAATAGGTTAAACTAAGAACGTTCTGTAATATTAACAAAGCGTGGGAAAATCAGAAGAGAGATTAGAAGTGAAGCTTAAGCCTAGATTGGTGATAATTAGCATAGGTTTTTATAACAGAATATGTAATAATATAAAAGTCGCACGATTCTGGCAGGACGTTCAGGTCCTTACCATATTTTAGATTAAAATCAGTAGTTTGACATCTAAAAAGATTAAGGGCAAGACCATTCCAAATAGACTTGTATTCAGTATACTTCAAGAATTCATTCACTTCAAAGTAATTGAAAGAGGAAAAGCCTGGTATATATACTATAGTCAGTTTATACACATACCTATCAAAGTGTCGTTTGTAGATGATAGGGTATCGTACAATTAAAAAGAGAAAGAGGGTAGGAAAACAACAGCTTTTTGAAGCACATCAACTTTAGTTAATAAAACAATGGAGTATTTCCCTTCATTAATGGTATACTACCCTTTAAAGAAAAATAAAAACAAGACCAGTTGATTTTTCTGCTATTGATGTTGATACAAGCAAACTTTTCTGATAACACAGGATCAAAAATATAGTCTAGAAACATGTATCAAACAGATAAATCACTTAGCGTGAAATGAGCACTGCTGCATCTGAAGTACTTCTTTCTTATTTGTAGGAAACTGATGTAGATTGATGGACTCATTTAATGCAGACCAAATTATAAGTAATATCACTTTCTTCCTTTTATTGATAAAATGAGAAATTATCTTTATAAGCTCGAGCTGGACATCAGTATCGTCAACAAGTTCTTCGATGATGAAATAAATTTTCTTTCGGAAGTGGTCAAGTGTATTTATCCTAAATTTGGGTTCGATTAACATTTGCTCTTTTTGTCTAATGTTAGGAATTGTAAAACTATAATTTGTAGCGATACTTTTCAATGTATTCAGGAAATTGATTAAGTTATACCCAGAGTATTTTAAAAGCGTATAGGATTTACAAAGAATCTGATAAAAACTTTCAGTATACCATAGTTCTTACTAATACTAAATATTTCATGAATTATGGGTTTTTTTATTCTAATAGTAATTTTTGAAACTAATCCGATAGACGATTAGAGACGGAGACGGGTCACTTTGAGATATGGATTTCAAATAACAGTTAACACTTTGGGGTTACGTTCTCCAAAAATACAATGCTTTTGTTATTCGTTATCTGATTCTCCTTAGTGTTCGACAAAAATTAAATTTTTCTAGAGGCAATATTGTTCAAAGATACTGATATACATTTCATGTAGGGTGATAGCGCAAACTTTCAGATGAATGGTGTAGAATCTTGCAAGTAAATCAAAATACTGATTGCCTTAGCAAAACAAAGATGTTTTAAACGTTCAAATAATAAGGATGATGTGTTATAGTTTCTCATAAGTACTCAGTTTCCTATTTGACCAGTGTTTATACTGTTATTGTAAACATTGTTTATCAAGTATCTAACGAATTTAACTGATCTATTTTGTGATTTTCTGTTTTTCTTCAAGCGACGAAAAATTGTAAGTTGAGAAAATTGCATTTAATTTATGTTTATATTGTGTTTTATAAATGTAATAATATTTTTCAGTATTTATAATGTCTAAAATAGGAATCTTTATCTTAAATAATATTCAAACTTTTCTTAAGACCGAATGTTTTAAGGCGTGAATATATAAACTCATTCGTCTCAGTTATTATAAACGAGCTAAGATATATTTAGCTTGTGTAGTACCGTTTTCATTACTCAGAATGAAATTTAATATAATGGTTATGTTGAATCATTTTTTTCAGTAATGTTATTGATACACGAAATCATCTGGCTAAAAATAAGGTGTTATTTTTATTAGCTTCATCTCATCATATTTCCTATCTTTATAGCCATGAGAAGTATCAAAATTTAATCGAATTACCAGCTAACTTTAGTCAGATAAATAAATTCTTCGGAAAAAGTACCGACCAGGTCTATTACAATGAATGTTGATACAATTTAAAAGTAATATCTCTGAATTGGTTTACTCAGTTCTCTTATCTGCAAATGTCTATGTAGATGGATTAAATTTCTTTGTAAATAATAAACATATAATGACTCCTCTATACTCGGCGCCCATTTTCTGTCGAACTATTCGTTCTAATCTTGACGAATATTCGTATAAATATGAGTACAGTTTTAAAAAAAGGAAAAAAAGAAAAACTCAATATTCTTAATTATTTTTCGTTTAGAAATTACTGTAAAAGGTTTAGATTTTCAGTCAGGTAATTTATTTCGTTTCATTAAGATAGTTTATCAACATTAACTAGAATTAACTGGAATAAAATATAGAAAGTTTTGGAACTTAAACAACCTTTGAGACCATCATTTATCTTGAATTACTAAGTCAAAATCTCATCTGATGTTATAACCCGCCATAAGTCTATTTTTAAATCTACCACATTTCTTAAATTGTTCGATAATTAGAATTCAGAGACTTATGGCGAAGTTCTTGCAACCTATACATGTCTTTAACTGTCATAAACTATTTTTCACTAGCTCAAGTTAACTTAGCATACTCACCCACTTATAGCCAAACTGGAATCTATCTTCTGCAGGAGGTGGTCCAAGTTGTTGAAAGCTGTGTGAATGTTTGTTTGCATCCCAAGATATGAGCAGTCGGAAAACAGCCATCTTAGGATGTTCAGAGTAGAAAACACATTTAATTTATTCAATTTGTATTGCCAGATTATGACTTGATGCACTGTAGGTTCTAAGTAAAAATTTTGATTGTTACTCAAGATGTCTAAACTTTGTATTTTGTCAGCGTCCTCATCAATCAAGACTATGTTACCCGAATACTGTCATCCAGTGTGAGATGCTCCGGACAGAAAATCGATCCGTTAAATATTAAGTGATGAATTAATTGTATTTAAAGCATTCACAGGACACCTGAATTAATAGAAATAAAGGGATCGCTGACAAATTACACATGAAGTAGTCAACTCAGTTGCCCGTCAGTCCTAAGATGTGACCAAACTAGCAGTATTCTGGGATAAATCAATTCTATTTTTTGACATGTCCTTCTAGGGTTAACATTAATAAGATCTCGCAGTCAACTGCATTTAATGTTACTCTCAGATCAAGGAGTACAACTTGGACATTGTAAGCATACCAATGCTTCGAAACCTGAAAATAAATAGACTTAATTAATTCATTCACTACTCAACTTCTTGAATTTCCTGTTTCTGAGTTACACTTATGATTGTGGAAGCTAAAACGTTAGAATTAATAATACTCACACTTCTATGTAATTATCAGAAGGAAATTCCCCCCCATTTTGTAAAAGTCAGGGCTCTCCACAATAGAAAGCGGTTAAACAAAATTACGATAGGTTCTCTGATACTGTTGGATCGATATTTTTGAATATTTGAAATGAACCCGTTAGGACTTGTTTCTGTTTCTTTTCAAAGGTTAGTTTTCGCATTCGCTGTTCCAAAAAAGTTCACAGTATTTCCTACCAACCAAACTACTGGTAGGCCGTGGTCAACCGGAATTCGATCAAACACTTTCCCAAAGTCTCTCACTAATTCATTAAGCTATCTGTTTTGAAAGCTGATAATTGTCCTACCTTTTTCAGCAGCTTCAATAGTTATCTTTTAAATTCTGTCTTTTAGTTGCATTCAAGTAATTTCCCACTTTTCTGTATTTCTGATACTTTTTCCCCTTTTTACTATCGCTAATCGCCACTCCTGATCATTACCTACAAGTATTATCAGTTTACATTAGTGTAAATTTTCTTACTGTATAAGCATATTTAGTGGTTTCATATGACAGAGTTGGTTTATCTAGTAATTTTTACCTAAGGTTTGAATAGAAAGAATAGATAAACTAGAATGTCTATCGGGTCCCATCATATTATTATCATTCCTTCCAATGATTGTTATGTAAGCAAAAAATCCAACTGAAGTGTGCATAACCGCATAAAACAAATATCTTAGTTAGATGCTTTTTGTTTACCACTAATATCAATAAACGTCTAAGTTTATTTATTTATTCTAAATGTATAATGTAGTTTATGCAAATTTCTCTGCCAAGATCTGTGAATAAGTAAATTTGCTTAATATCACTGTCTTTATTTTAATATGAGATTGTATCTGACCGATCAGAGATAAATTTTTGAATTACCAAATTGAGCACCATAATATAGTGAAAATAGTTTCCAGAGATTTATTTCACTGATCACCTTTTCTAACTTCATCTATACCAAATCACCAAAAGGTATATTAGTTAATCAGGCTAAACAATCAAATAAATCAACATGATATTTGGTACAGTAATGCTATAGTTTATTACATCAAAAAATATATAACAATCAACGAAAAAAATGACTGGATGTAAAAGAGTCAGAATAGTCAAATGTAAGAACTTTAATGTCCAGTGGTAAGTCAATAAATCTACACTAAAGAAATATACTCAAGGTCAAGCAAAACCATATTTTAAACCATTGCTGCAGGTCATAAATATACTTACTAGTTCTTTCACAATCTCAGTAAAATCATCGACCATAAGTTACTACATAATCTGAAAGCTTGACTACTCAAAATCCCACAAATGATCTCTTTTAGATTAATTAAACACTGTGTTGGGAGTTCCTTACACTCTTAATTGCTTAGAATTTTTCAAAGTGGGCAATCAGTTAATAATAATTATCATAACAGTTTTCTTCGTATAGATTACCTTCAATATCCGTCTCTGGATAGTCTGAAGTCATGTTCAGCATGTTAGATCATTGATCTAGGACAAAACTAAACATAGATTATTAGTTTTATAGTAGTGGGAACAATATTTTAAACAGAATACCGTTATTATTTTACTTCATTTCGTCAGGTTTTCATCATCTGTTTCTAACTCAAGGTATTTCAGTAACGAAAATTGTAAATGAAATGTAATATACAAACGCAAGCTGATGTATGCATGTATCAGAATGGTCTAGTAAATAATTAAATGCAGTTACTAAGATTTACATAAATTTTAAAAATATATTATTACATCATAAATATCCTACACAAAAGTAGGTTTTAGATCATTGTTTAGGGTATCAACAAAATAACATAAACCTGGAGCTAAGTAATCTCAGCTTCTTTTTATAGTAATTATATTCAGAACTAGTCATTATTTATGCATCGACACCGATTAGTGGAAAACGTTTGATCTTCTGATTGTAGTGAATCGCCAGGCATTTAGTTATAATTGACTGAGTGTACGGTCACATATTTTCAGATTAATTTTTATTAGCGTTTTGATAAGTGTAGATCTAGTTTTTCTCTACAACGCTCCTAATGTTCATGTCAGACTTAAAGATTTCCATCTCTTACATTGTGACTTCCACGGAGACTTCATTACGAGCGTGACAGATCCCAAGTTTATATTCTAGGAAAACGACAGTACATTTTTTAGTAGTAATATGAAATATACTTGGTGGTTTCTAGAAACAGCTCTACTTCAAGTAGTTAAACATATAGCCCGTTACTATAAAACTAAAATAATCCTAATTCTTTGTACCAGTTCATCAGTGAAGATTAAAACAGCCATATACAGTTGTTGAATATAATTTGTTTATGATGTACCAATCATGTTAGTACTGAACATCTTTACTTCATATCTTCGAACTAATCAGTTTGACAGGAATAATATGCTTTGTAAGACTAATATTTTGTGAATAATAATGTTTAGGACTGAATAGAAACTTTTAGTTGTAAGTTCTAAGCTTTGAATGTCCTATCTAACTAAATAAACTTGTAACTCTTCTTACAAACTGTTTTGAATCTCTAGGCTGATTTATTAGAACACAAAATTAACATTTGACAAACCTGGTTCAATTTAAATGTTTTTCTGACTTTATTATATTTATTATTTTACTCATTAATTTTGCTCTTAACTTTGTAACAGTTTACTATAGAAATTGTCATATGTACATACTAAGAAACAGACCCATAGCATTTACGATCTTTAAATATGTCAAACGTATTCATTTCATTAACAAATCTTGTCCATAGGAAGTAAAACAAAACAAACAAAAAAAAACACTCAGAAAACATTTCATTTTAGATTTTATTTAATGAAATGCCCGAAAATTACAATTGGTCACAGTTTGTTTTCATCATATTGATTCAATCTTCTACCTTTCATAATATATTCATCCTTAACTACCCATTTTTCATATGTATTTACTTTTGTGTTCTTTTCTATCAATATTCACTTGACACGAATAGCCAAATAATCTAATATTGACCTAATTACAATTGAAAATGCTTTATGTTTTCTATGTGACATATTTTTATGGAATAATACTCAAGTGAACTACAAGTCTAACTGTAATTTTCACTGATTCTGAATTAAATAAGAATTTATTCTCTAACCAATAGAACACAATTAGTTTAGCTTTGAAAAACAACGTAAGTAACCTCTGAGTGATTAGCTAGTCACCTATAAGGAACTAGAAAATTAATAAATGGATGTACCTGTCAATCACATTAACTAGAGTTCAATTGAGATTTGACCTGAGATTATTCATACAGTGAGTTAATTTGCAGGTGTTTTGCATAGAATTTGTTATTTGCCCATGTAGTTCTCTATTCATGATGTTGATAATTATTCTTCACATCTTGATCTATTTCAATTTTTTGACATGTCTTTATTCAGATGACATCCATTGGTTTTAATGCAATTAATGTCTTTTCGATTTAGATAATCGAATATCTTTAGCCAAATTTTATCGATCATTTTAATGTTTTCTTATTGACCCTATTCACGACATTATAGGTGTAGGGAATTTTTCACGTAAAGTGCAACACTTTCAACATATTTTTCTGTGATATTATTTTAATATTAATTTTCTTGTAAATAGTTAAAAGAAACTTATGTTCTTTATTTTTCTCTCATGTTCCCTTTCGAAAGGATCCTCGAGAAGCTGAGGAAAGAAGGTATTTGATTCGTCAAAACAAGAAATTACTAAACCAGGTTAGTAAATGTTTGTACAACTACATTAATTATTTAATACTAGTTATTTGAATCAGCAAAGAAAATTGAAAGACTGGAGGTAACCAAAGTAGAAATGAAAGAACAACTGGAATTACTGGATTTCCAAATTGTCGAAGTTGAGAATCAGAAAGCTATGGTATGTTAAGCCTTCTTATCTTTATATATTCAGTTATATATTTTTCTAATGGTATCACATTCATATGTGACCTCCGTATTTTCTTATTGTTACTTTATTCTTTGTTTCTTTCTACAGATTGAGGAAGAATTGAGAAAAATTCCCCCAACTTTACATGAGGGAACTCAAACCGAGGTTAGTTACCGTAATTTATTTGTTTACATTCAATCCCAGGTTAAATAGAGAAATATAGGACTCGAAGGCAACATGTGATTATATATGATGCTAATCCATATTACACTACATGATTAACTTTTTAGTTTTATCATAGTACAAGTAATAAGTAAAATGTTAATCTGGAGTTCTTGACTTTTTTAAAGTGAATTGTAACGCACCCTTTAAGTATGTACAAACGTAAGCTTAAAAATAAAGTATTAAACGTAGCGATATTGATCAAAAAGGCGAGGTTTTCATTCTATAGTCTATAATAATCAAGATAAAGTTCATAAAAATCAATAGAAATTTACTATAATAACCACAAATTAAGAGTGGAATAAATACACATCCCTACTTAATCAATATTCCTTGCAAATGTTTATACTGCTAGTTTATTTCACAATGTACATCTTAGAATTCTTGAACGTTCAGTAGTTTCACATTGCTTTGTTGGTAGTTGCAGCGTACTCTGAGAAAACGATGAGCTATTAATGCAGTTCTTACTAGAAAAAATCAAACGTTTCTGGAACACTTTGTTGTTTACATCACAGACTGACCATAATTAAACAATCACCGAAAACCGGGAAGCATTGGCCATTTGTTTTGTCGTAGTATTGAGCGTATCCAAGTCTCTCAATGATCTTTTGACATTAGGCCACTGAGCTGACTTCCGGTGGTTTACATTTCTAACTGCAGTCAACTTAAGAGTAACTATTGAGAGATTATTAAACAATAAGCTCCTATTAAATTCAGTGAGAAGGAACATGTTAACCTAAAGACTCAAAGCGTTATAAACTGCAACAAAGTGAAAGGAAACGGCTAATCACAACTCCTTTTTTGTGAAAGTTGTTTTACTGAAATATTTTGATTCTGGTCACTACTTCAAAAAAACTATTATGATTGATTATTATGCAAAAATAATTTTTGTAGGAAAATATTGCTATACTGTCTTTTTTCGTGTAGTTATAGCGTTTATCATTACGAATCTGATATCTTCTATGATGCGTTTCATATGGAATGTTTAATAACCACTGTCTTCTTACACCTAAGATAAATTATACTTTGAAGAAGTCTTCGAGAGTTAAGCTATCACCCTTTGAATGTATTTCTTTTCCACTACCAGTTCATAACAAGTCTACTGTACACTTAATGATTTAGAAATTTGCAAAGATCCTACCGTTTTTATTTCTATTAGAAATAAACCGTATCCTAATATTTTAGTGCTAACTTGTCATTCTATTATCATACACATTCGTTTTTCTTCAGAAATTCGTTTTTTGAAAGTTGTTGTAGTCGGTGTTCTAATTTTATTCTGGTCTTTGAAAACCTTTCAAAATTTAGTCATATATTTCAGTAACATCTATTTTATAGGAAGCATACACCTTGTTCAAATTATTATCATCGCTAAGAATGAAGAAGAATCTTACCACCCATCTTGAATTGAAAGACAATAAGTTAGTTCTTTCTTCTGAAAACTAAAAGCTGTTCAGTTTTTGGTTGAGCGCTCAGGTAAATTACCGTGAAACTGAATGAATATTCAATTTCATTAGTTAATAAACCTGTCTACAATAAACTGTTTTCTTAGATATTTTCTCCAATCAATACTGACAGTCAGAATTTTTTCGATCTACATTGCTTTAGTAAAACCTACTTTTCTTCTGTTATTTTTTCCTCGTCGGTCAACTATCAAATCATTTAGGGATATTTGATTCTATGAAGTAGTGGAGTTCATCAATTAATCGACTAAATACCCAATTTATGAAAGCTAATTTAAAAGATTCTAATCGAGATTCCTATGTGATATAAATAAACACTCACGGCTTATAGTCGTTTTCTACATTTACTACATTTATTTATTCAACTCTAAACACTTTATTTGTAAGTTAATTAATAATTAAGAAAAATTACAAGCCTATCAAATGTAACATTTTACTTATCACACTTTTATTCTAATCTAGGAAAGTTCCGATAGCCATCAGTTGATATGTCAATTAAAAGAACAATTAAGTCTACTGAGAAGCGATTTATCCAATCAAAAAGCTGAAACAGCAGCTGCTGTTGCTAAACACATTCATATGGATAATTTAATTAAAGAATTACGCCGTGATAATATTGAATTACGTGATCAATTATCTCATGTTGATGATGCTGAAAATTCACTAGCTGAAAGTGATAAGCCGATAGCTGCTGATGTTAAACTACTTAAAGTTAGTTTTTTTTAATTTATTACTTTTGAAAACTTTACTTTTTGTGTATGGTTAATTATTCTATTTTCAAATTGAAAGTATTTCATCTCTTATACGTAGATCGTAACTTAATAAAGAAAAAATCCTCATCGGGTTTTTATCATGTTTACTTGGAAAACCACTATTTTAAGACTGTGTGGTCTTATCTGCACAACACTTTTGATGTCCCTTATGAAGTATAAATCATGTGTAACATTTATAACCGTTATGTAAAAGTGATATATTTCATATTCATATATTTCGTATCCACGATAATGATAGTAACACTAGTTGCATAGTACTTTGTGGTATCGATATTTCGTCTATCAAAAGAAAATTTTATATACATTATCTACTTTTGGGATTACCCCATCGAACATTCATTTATTCATGCAGATTAAAAGGTTGAGAGTGGTTTTATCTGTTAACAATTACTCTGGCTTTTGCATAAATCTTAAAGATTAAAGCTTACGTGATAGTAAAACTTACTGCTTTGATCTGATAATAACGTAGTTCAGTTTAATTAACTTGAAGGAAAGTAATTCATAATCCAGTTGACAGATAGAATTTTTTAAAGAGTAATGTGTTTATGAAAACTTTTTACTTACGCCTGTTACATTTCATGAAGCATATGCCACCGATCTCGAACGCACTCTCTCCGGGACTCTTCTTTCTAGTTATTCCTAAGTGCTATTCATTCTTTTGATGTCTGCTTCCAATTCCTAATATAATTTGTTCTACGGTTTGTTTTTTCTCTTTAAACTTGAAGATTCCAAGTTAGAGCTTGCCTCGTGGTGCAGTTTGATGATTTCATAAATAAGTTTCTATCTAACTTCGGAGTATTTTCCTAGTTTTCTCTTCATGTGGAAGTTAGTTTGTCCACTCGCACAGCAGGCTGCTGCTGATGCTATCCGGCCAACGATCATTACGTATCTTGTGTAGATAGTTGTTTACAACTACCTGTATCTGACAATTTTTAGTGATTTAACTTAAATTGTCAGATTTGTGTGCGTTAATACATCAAATTATCATGGAAGTAATGAAAAATGATGGAAACCTAATACAAATTTCTTCTGTACAAAAGCTGAAATCAATTAGTCTAGTTGTTCCATATGTTGTTAATTCCTAATTATATATATAGGTATCAAAATCAATTTCCTATCTGGCAATTTTGTTTCGTGCACAATATTGTTAATGACGATGATTCTAATAAAGTATAGTCGTGTGTGTACACCTAAATGCTTGTATTTGACAACTAGTAAGTAGTTTTCAACCTCAGCAACACTGACCATACTGTCTAATTTGTTTTGCCTAGTGTTAGCCGATTCATAAAGTGGCACAGTCTTGCGAAATTGCTGATTATAGCTACTGAGACGACCGTTGGTTTTAGCTGGGGAATAACAGCTATGTAATAATTATTCAGTGCGACAAGATTAAAAAGTAACTTAATATTTAATGAACGATGAAAGATTTATTTATAAACAAACTACGAGTTAAAGCAACACTTAAACCCGTGATGAAATACACATACTTTTAAACGGTTCGCAAATAAATGAACCAGCAGTTAACAACTAACCAGCAAACAGAAGAGAACAGTCAACAAAACACGAAGGTGATCAGCGTATTCAACTTTCATCTTAGTAAGAATTATCATCCACTTGTGGAATCTCGCTTACTAATGCTATCACATTACACAACCTTAGTAGTTGAGAAATTCAACCATATTATAATACCACACATGTGAAATACACCACAAAAATGTTAAAATCAACTGACTCAACTACTTAATCCAAGTGTAATTCACATATCCGAAACAATATTGAGATAACATCAGTTAGGGATGGATCCATGGTTATCAGGAAGGAAAACGAAAGACAGTTTGTCATTACATCATAACTGTTAAGGTGTGGGAAACGAAGTGTAAGTAGACACATTCTCTATATTTTTTGGATGGAATTGAACAGAGAGAGAGAGGGAGAGAGAACTTTCCAAGTTTGACAACACCATTTAGAGATTATTCACTTCATGTGTTGCGATGCGAACTGTCATATGAAACAGTTGGATTTACTCATGATCAAATGGTGGAGTGGGCTCTTGAATATTTCTCATCCAACTGTATATCTATGTGTGCAAAAGCACTTCCTTTTGTTTGATATTTATCATGGTTTTCATGTGAATACTCAAGGATATCTTTTGGCTCGCTCACAAACGTCTAGTTACATTGTGGTTTTGAGAATGAATGAGAAATATATATCGGTAGCCTAAAATCATATTGTTGCCCATCGATATAATTAGATGTATAGGAAAGATATGGGTGTATTCCTATTCTTTTGATGAGTGTATGATAGGTAGTAATGGAATTTGTAGTTATGGTTACGGCGAGAGTATATATATGCATAGTTTAAAAGGTAAAAATTAATTACTTTGCTATCTTAATTAACTATATCTGTCGTGATTCATTCAATACCTTTTTTCAATGTGAGATAGGCGGTGTTAGTTTTTGTACGAAACAGAGAATTTTTTGAGCAAGAGATCCGTTAGTATCTAAAGGTTTTCTGCCAAAGCGTTTTACCTTCCAAGAAGCCATATTGCCCTTCTAATGAACTAGATACTATTTTTGAACAGTACAGATTGGCGGTATTGCTTCTTCTAATCATACGGAAAAACAAATGAATATAATCTAAAATTTCTGTTTAATGTTATAGGTGACACCGATTGTTGATTTGTTTTATAATTATTTGAATGTAATTAATAATCCCTGAGAATAAAATTTCCCCAAAAATATTTACATATACTCTTTACAGTCTGGGTTTTTTAACTCAGTAGTTGAGGGTAGGGTTAAGAACATTGGGAGCACAATGCTGAGTGTATGTGCATACGGTCACGCTTGAGTCTACTAATTCTGTCAAGCCTTGTGTAGGAAAGACCAGGCCATAGCAATTCGCTTGATCCCAGGTTCTTTCAATTAGGTGTAAATAGGTAGGTAGCTGATTTGTAATTAAGTAGTGAAAATAGCGACCAGTGATATGAACATTTCCTCAAATACATGTATTTATTACTTCACTCTGTTGACCGTAAAAGTTCTCTGTGGTTTTCATTATCAAAGAACATTGGTTCCCATATAAGTGTAATGTAGGCTAATTTACTAATTTTTCGTAAGGAAATTAGGTTTGTTATTGGATGCCGATTTCGACTTAATAAAAGTGAACACTATATAAGTGATTGTCTATTAAATCATGAGTTCAGAGTTGTTAAATCGAAATAAGAAATGAAATAGAATACAGTGATTAAAATGAAAACGAATTACAGCAACGGTCTTACAAACTCCATCGATATACTTGAAATGTTAGTTATATTAGTCAAGTAATGAGTATAAATAAATGTTACCTTTTAATTCATCTTTGTACTGGTTATTTGAATCTTCTCATTAGTGTTTAAGATTGCAACAATTTAAATACTCAATAAAACATACAAATAGGTTGATCATGAGTAAATCCAACTGTTTCATATGACAGTTCGCATCGCAACACATGAAGTGAATAATCTCTAAATGGTGTTGTCAAACTTGGAAAGTTCTCTCTCTCTCTCTCTCTCTGTTCAATTCCATCCAAAAAATATAGAGAATGTGTCTACTTACACTTCGTTTCCCACACCTTAACAGTTATGATGTAATGACAAACTGTCTTTCGTTTTCCTTCCTGATAACCATGGATCCATCCCTAACTGATGTTATCTCAATATTGTTTCGGATATGTGAATTACACTTGGATTAAGTAGTTGAGTCAGTTGATTTTAACATTTTTGTGGTGTATTTCACATGTGTGGTATTATAATATGGTTGAATTTCTCAACTACTAAGGTTGTGTAATGTGATAGCATTAGTAAGCGAGATTCCACAAGTGGATGATAATTCTTACTAAGATGAAAGTTGAATACGCTGATCACCTTCGTGTTTTGTTGACTGTTCTCTACTGTTTGCTGGTTAGCTGTTAACTGCTGGTTGAACGCACTTTAAGTTATTAATATTGGGTCACCTTACTTTTTTAGCTTCAGGAGGCTCTGTTTCATGATTATGGAGCTAATCTCGTTCCAGCAACGGTTTTTAAATCTAATATCATGAAGTCAAAGATAATCCATTGTCTTTGATTTCTCTACCTCACACTACAGTTTGTTGTCACCTGCAACAACACTGTTAGTGCTCACACAACCTCCCAGACGCGAAAACCTTACGATTATTTCTGATGATTAGTTGTTGGTACAGACTTGTACCTGTCTTACTAAAATTCTTTGGATTTTAAAGGTGGAATGTAGTCGCCGTATTTTAGGATACCAAGTGAGACTGCAATAGCTTGAGTAACAGTTTACACCAAGATACTGTATTCCTTTTATCACACATTAAATGTAACGCTTTGGTTCTCCAAGTACTATATGGTTTGCATTATCTACAAATTGCAGTGTGATTTTGGTCATTTTCATGAGACTGAGTGAGTAAAATGTTCCAAACTACGCTAGGATAAGTGACTATGAAAATCAAATATTTCTCTCTCTAATATTATGTTTTCTAACGCTATAATTATGAGAAGACCACGGACAACCATGTAAACTGGATAACATGAATTAATTTAATTTGTTTTTATGTAACCACTTAAGTTCAGTTTTGTGATCTTTTGCTACAATATCAGTTATAGTTCTAGTACATTTTGTAACCTTAAACATGTTTGCTAAGTTCTATCCAAGCTTTTCAGCTTTGTTTCCATGTGTAATGCATCATACTGATGTGCTTTTGTACCAAGTTCTAACCTATTTGACTTCTATATATTTGTTAAATTACAATGGAAATTTTGATTTTGAAATAAAATAAATTCATGTTATTTGGTTTACATCGTTGAATGATTGTTCATTATTACGAATCGATTGTAGTTAAACATGCAAACTATTAGATACTGACTTACTGATATTGAGGTTTAATTCGAGACTGTAGATCCCGTGTTCGACTTTGGGTTGAGAAGTCATAGATGCCCACTCCTGTTGGGTCCCCTTCTGGTTCGAAACACCTTCAGTGCTTTCTGGCTTTCAATAGTTGTGTAACTAAGATCAGTTCAAAATGTTAATCATATACATATTTAAGCCATGTTCTTATCACACATGTGGCATTCACTTAAAATATCGTGTCACGAAGTCATTTTACACACAACTCACGTCAATCAATCTTTTTCCAAGTGTAATCTACTTAAAATATAAATGGCTATATATATATGTTCATATTTCGTCACGGTTGATATTGACCAACGTGAAAATCCATACAGATCCCTTTATGCAAGTTACTGATTATTTATTCGCTGTTATAAAGGTGTGTTAAGCTTTCCTTACAATATACATAGGTGTACACTTGTAAACGAGTGTATACAAAAAAAGATATCGCCTAGTTCCAGGTCACATTATTTTCCTATTCATTATTTGACGGTGTACTTTATTTGTGAGTTCTATTTTTCAGATAAGTTTTTAACCCTAATTCATTTTATCATTATATTTCTATTTCTTATAAGGCTCAATTAGCTGAACAGTTAGAACGTGTCAAAGATTTAGAAGAAAAATTGAATTCATCAAGATTGTATTCAGAAAAATTAGAATCCCGTGTACAAGACCTTATAGGAAAAAATAGCTGTCATCCATCTACTGAATCTGTATCATTCGAAATAGATCATTCTGAGCAAAACACAGTGAGTTTTCATACTGCTTTATTTTTGCGTGTAATCATTTTAAACTAATCAATGAAACATGATTTAATTGTTTACGTAATACTTAACATTCGATATGTAACCTAAATATTTACCATTAATAAGTTATCATTATAAAATATGTCAGCATTAGTTCAATAATTGTAATAACATACGCTTTATTTGTAGTGCACCTTTAATAACAATGAGAAATATTGAATTAGATCTGGTCAGATTACCTGAGAAACTGTTTTATTTTTTACTTGACAATAACAATGAAGAAATGACTTGTTAGTTCTATGTCGCTCTTATCTGACCATTGAGTTATAATTTGTTAGTGTCTCCCAGTTAAAACGCGTAAGAAAGAATCCTAAATTAAACTTAATTTTTTTTATTTGAATGAAAGTAAATTGTTTAGTGAAATTGTAAACGCTAATAGACAATATCCACTCGAGTTTATTCTGTAGACAGTGTAGGATAACTTAGTAGTACTTTACTTTCACCAGTTTCCTTGTAAACTATTGTTAACCAGTTATAAATTCTGATAACCACACCTTTTTATGAAAATCGGTTTAATTTTACTATCTTTTATTAATGATCATAAACGTCCAGACTGCTGTACTTCACTCAATGGACGATACCAAACCGGTTACTGTTTCTCAATCACAACCACCTCCATCAAAAACAACAGGAGCACAACCTAAAGTAGATGATATACTTCTTCAACAAACAATTCATACATTTCAGGCACTTTTAGATGAACGTGATCAAGAAATAAGTCAATTAAAAAAACATATTGTACAAAATCCATCTAACACTGAGTTAACATCAGATATAAATCTACCCAAATTATACGAATCATCAATTCAAACAGAATTAAATAATGAACAAATGGAAAAACTGTCAAATTTAAAAGATACTTTAAATTCAGGTGGTCAGTTATTGACTAGTGAACAATATGAAACATTGAACAATGAATTAAATGAAACATTGAAAACATTAACAAACAACCCTGATAATCGTAATATACCATCGTCTGAACAATTATCATCATCTACAAATGAAAAAGAAAAGTCAACTCAGAACTATGGTGATCTAATTCAAACAGTGAATAAATTAAGAAAAGCATCTGAAACTATTAAACCAATGTCAACTTCATCCGAGTTAAAACCAAGTGATATGTACGTTTTAAATTTATTACAGCCTCGTTATCATTTATAAATTCATATATAACATACTGAAACTCATCCTTTACCTTGACTGTCGATGTTTTGTAGTGGCTAAATCAGAACGTGACATCAACCCATGAAATCATTGACTTTTGAACTGGATCGTATTGATAATTCCAGATTACTTGGTTGTGATCAGTGTCGTTATCGTAACCAATGTTTGAATACATTGGGCGGCGTAACTCATAACTGATCATAATGGCTCAAATGTAATCCCTCTTTGTTTTACCTCAGATGGGATTGTTTAGGCCTAATTTTTCTTATTACTACTGATACTGTAACTACCTCTACTAATCGCGGATTTGTCTTGATAAGTTTATCTCGTTGTGCTAGCGTACTAAGGAAACTTAAATTGATGTTCATACGTGCAGATTCTATGTTGCTTACTACTGAATGATAATTAAGGTTATGTTGATTAATATATTTTGTAGAGTCTATTAGGGCTCACATCTGGTTCATGATATTCCTTTAAAAATTATTTCATTGAAATAATAATTGGAATTAGTCTCTGACTTCATTTTCAAGAACCAAGCAATGGAAACTCGATTATCAAGATTTCTCTTATTTTTGCTATTCATCTATATTTCCGCTCCACTTTCTATTTCAACAAATAAAGTTGAGTAGGACTAAACACAATGAAAGAAGCTGGAAATTCTCACCACGACTACTAATTTTTAAACAATACCACGCATATGTATTTTTAAGCAGAGCTAAATAGTGCTTGATAGTGGATTTCAGTACGCACGCTTTGTCCGATTTTGGACTCGTCAGTTGGATGCTTCTCCATCCTAGTGTTGGTCTCTACTGTGAGGTTCAAAACCAGTACTTACCGCATCAACCACCCAACGAAATGTTCAATAAGATGTCGATTCTACATAACTACTGACATGTAAAAAGACTGTGAATTATAATTTGTAAATGAAATTTGATTCTTCCTGTTGCTGACGTCAAAGGCTGAAATCGATCGATCCCCTTTGGCATTAGGTAGCCTAAGAGAATTACTTTAATATCGCCATTAAGTCATTAGCGTTTTATTGAGCAAGTTGGATGATGGCTAGTATAGTTTAATAATAGTTTTCATACTGCCTGTTAGTTTATTGCTACTTTTTTCTTTCAGCTAAACATTTCGATGTTTTTCTTTTTAGCGTTGATCAGGCGAATCCGAATACAGTGAGTTCAGCTATTGCTCATTTCGTTTGATATATATATATATATATATTTAACTATATTGAAACTTGGGAATACTAGTAAACTATGAGGCCATATTTGTGCAAAAAAACTTTTGATGATCTGTTTACTAGGCTCAATTTATATCTCGATTGGTGACAGTTTAGTACTTACTTGCAATGAGTAAATGGAAATATTTACTTTTTTTGCTTCAACTATTGTTGTTTAAGCTGAAATAAAAAGTACTCGTCATCCTTTTCAAACTGAAAATCACTGGCAAATACCTTATGATACTGTATTTTACGACAGGCTAGATCATAAGACAAATACAGTCATTCATCGATAAACACTGTATTGCTCATATTGCACCAATACTGTGTTATTGGTATTTGGGTTTGTGGAGATAATACGAACTGGCTTCAGTTAGGCAATCATTATGAACCAGGAAGCACTGAATAGCTATTTCATTCTAGTATGGAATTCGTCAGTAGTACACATCAACGATCCAACTGGGGATCGAACCCAGGATGTCCAGGTCTTGCGAGAGCGTTTAGACCACTGAGTGGTCGTTCACCGGCTTACATTCCCAACTCCAGTCACTCCCCAGAGTTCTAATGAGGAGCTGTAACTAATGGAGTCCAAATATGTTGAGTATGAGATAGCTACTCACTAATGGGATTGAAAGATTGGGTAATTTTCATATTTGATTGTTGTTAGAAATGTAAACCAATGAATTGTTCATTTCTTATAGCTAAATTAAAATTATTTTTAGTTCTGTTTCGAGGAGTCATTTTTCATTTCGCGAATGCAATTCATATTCCAGTTTAGTTATAGTAATGTAATGAACACTTATGTGTGGCAATACACACATGTATTTCTATGTTCATATTAATAGTTTATTTACATATTCATGTCACACATTAAACATAAAATTATAGTCACTGTTGTCCTCTCGTCCACAATGTAGAAATATAATTATGCACATCTATCGATCAGGTTGAATGTTACTTGCATATTTATTTTTAACTTGTATCTGTACATGAATTGTGAATATTCAGATAGTTTGTAACATGCTAATCGATTCAGACTAGCTAATTTTATTTTGAAGTATGCTTATGCACTACATATATCTGTTATTATAAACCAATATATAACTAACTTACTAGTTTCTAAGCCAAGATGAATAGTGGCTAACATTGGAATCCAGGATGCACGTTTCGACTCGTCAGCTGGGTGTACCTGCATCTCAGAGTTTATGTTCACTCAGGAACTTGAACCCAGTACCATTCGCTTCAAACTCCATCGCGTTATCCACTTAGCTACTGAGTCCTGATAGCCACTCAATCATTCAATGGAGTGAGGTTTGAATTCACTTGGTATTGTTTATTTGATTCTTCCCATTGATGTTTAGAATTGCAATTGATCAGTCTCTTATTGGCATACTTGCAACACGCACAGTATACATCAACATCAATGGGAAGATTCAAGTAAATAATACCAAGTGAACCTAACTTAATAGTTGATTTTTAATATTTGATCCGGTCATGTACAATATATCACATTTAATCTAACTTTTACGATTTTTGCTTACTGACATAGATAATTTTATTGTCATCATTATAATAAAGGTTAGTTAAATGTCGAATATGATCAAACCATTATTATTTTTCCGTTTTTCTGTGGGTGATAAATTCCGACCAATTTTTTCTGAATATACATTCATGAACAAATGTTCTTCGAAAATAATCTATAGTGCAATATTATGGTAAACATGATGAAATCATTCTCGTTTATTAAGAATTTATTAAAGATGCCTAGAGTAATTGTATATTGAAGTGTCTTATGTCCAAATGTTTTTTTTAGCTGAAGTGACAGTGTTTTATAAATATCGGTAGAAAAACTGTACGAAAATAAAGCATCACTACATGAAACCTTGTAGATGGGATTGTTTTCTAGAAATTAAGTAGCTCAAATAAAATGATTGAATTTCACTCATTAATTAGTGTTTCTATCGAAATTAATTTTATTAGTGACTTTCATTCTTTCTTAGTATACCTAATTTCTTTTCATTGTAAAGTTTTTTATGCTTACACAGATGCTCGATTATCATGTCATTTATTTCCTACTGAACAGACTTAGATAATCATAAGTCATTACATAAAACAGACATGAATTTCTTTTTTATTTATTCACGTGAATAAAAAGAATTAATGCTCTACAAATACATTGGTGTATACTTTTTAGTTATCTCATAGTAAAAGTGACACCGTTGTCCCTTACTAAAACGAAACAACTGTCCACTGCTTCCAGGTTTTCCATAGTGTTCTAGCTTTAATCGACTCATAAATTCAACTATTAAAAATACTACAATCTCTACAAACTCCCTTATTGACAAATGTAACCATTGATAGTTACGTAAAAACGTTTTTTTCTGATTTATCCTCTTTAAGTTTTGAATATCATAAATGCTAAATGCTTATTTTTCTTCTGTAAATTAGCATACATATTCACGTGCATATTGTATATGTATATATGTGTATATATATTCTTGTTATTGTTAGACATTTGGACAATTGACGAAAATCATTAGTAAAAAATCACCAACTATCTTTAATGTGTGAATGTAGTTACAAGTTAGAAAGAAAAAAAATAAGAAGAAATATTGTATTTTATTCAGTTCAATCCAATGTATATTGAACTTTGAAATTTCAATATTAGAATTATGACTTAATTTATAATACGTTTCTTTTTTTTAATAAAAAAATGTGGTCAAAATGTCACTCATTTGTTATAGTTCTACTAGTAGTAATCTTAACAATAATATTTGTATTAATATTTACAATAGTAGCAATAGTAATATGTACTAATTTGAGTACTAATATAACATTAACTTTACTTATTGCACTGTCTTCTTGAGTTTAATATTTTCAATTATTAGTTCTGTGTATTAGTTAAACTATAGATTTTAAATGAAAATGTAAATAAGTATTTGGTTAGTGAAAGTTTAATATTATCTGAGTTTGACATAGAAGTATATTACTATCTGATTTTAGAAAAAAAATGTTAACAGAAGCACTGGTAAAGTTATAATCCATAATGACAAAGTTAAATGATAATATTGATTCCGAATAACTTATTGTAATATATATATATATATATATATATATATATATATATATATATATATATATGGTGAAATTTCTTGTTAGCTGTTTAACCTTGTATTAGTTTCAAAGATATTAGAATTATTTTACATTATATATACAATGTACAGTTATTTTCATAACGATAAACCTTAACCTCCGTCCAAAACTATCATGTACTTTTGGTTGTTTTTTTTTCTAAGGTTTGTTCTTGAATATAAATGGTTAAAATAAATAATTTGATGAAGGCAAACTCGATCTTTTATTTACGGATAATTTAAATACAGGTATTTATGCTTCATTGAATAAATCATTGACGATGTGTAACTTAGTAATGTAAACGAATGATTTGATCTATCGTTCCAAACCTTATTTTAGATTTCTCCTGAGTAAGATAGTTTTATTCAGTTCGTTTATTAAAATGATGTTCCGTTTGTTCATTTCGATCTGATTCAGTGGATTGAGCACTTCAAATATTGTGCTAAAGTTTCAATAACTTCATTGATCTGATTCCATTCAGATAGCCAAACATTTCATCACTAATTATACAAGGGTCTTAATCTTATTAAATGCACGAATCTTTGATTGATTAGGGAGCTGTTTTCAACCTTTTCGATATATCGATATTAGTACACTGACACTACTGTTGTTTTCATTTATGTTTACCGTAGACCAATAATATTCATCTAAAATGAATTTCACTATTAGCCACAATTCAGACAATAGCTCACAAATGGTTTAATCGAAGTATCAGTTTTGTATATAGACTTTCATATGAAAGACCAAAACAAATTTTTAAACTGACTAAATACTAGATAGACATATTTATTAGTAAAGACATGTGAGTTTTTCTGTGTTCCTGTTTACCATTTTACTATTACATAAATTCTTTAGTCTTAAGATTTATCATTTATTGTAACCAAGGAAAACATTAATAATTAAAAATAGACAGGTAATATATTGATGAAACTAGTATTCTGCAAAAGTGATATGCATAATTTATCTCTGAAATTTTCAATCCCATAACAACTGATTCAGTAATATTTTTCAGTACCATTAAGTGTGAATTAGTTTGAAATCCTGGATAGAAAATGCTAATATCCTCTGGAAAAAGGGTATTCTATCTAAGAATAACCATAACTTAGTCTTAAAACTGGAATTTTGAAATTATCAGTGTTAATAGGTTTTGATGCAACGATACATGCACCTATTTTCGCTCTATTGTGTTTTTAATGGTTGAAGTCACTTGGTAGGATACTCTTGGCTTAGGTCTCATCCTAGTTAGCACTCGTCATTATATGTGCCAGAATCCTTAAGGGGACTGGCAACCTCTGGCGTTCAAACCAGCATCATCCACGTTCATAGTCTGAGACATTAGTACCGAGCTGCTCAGTTCGCAACTGACCTCCTGTAGAACCGAGATATTTGAAATTAATTAATCCACATGTAGTCTCTGATCTCCTGTTGTTCTAGTAACTTAGTGCTGGTCAAACTCTATTAAACAAGTTGAAAAGCGATATGTAGAAATGTAGTAAATGAGAATAATCTAAAGTTTCGGTACCCGTTTATTTAGTGTTTTAAATTGTGAACTTTTATTAGTGTGACTTTATTGGTTTGCTTAGAACTTTCTTAAACCGATTTCATTTGGACGAAAACAATAAAAACCATTTTATGTGTGCACGATCAAACTAACGGGAAAAATGAACGGAATTGTTTACTTTAAAATATTTTTGATGTAATTATTGTTTATGGCCACTTATTTTCTTTCAATAAAAAGGAGAACCATGTATTAAATGATTTCTATCATGTTCATTTAGATTGAAAGGTCATGTAAGTCGAATCAAATAAATTCTGCTAAAA